ATCTAAAAATTTTAAAGCTAAAGTATTCTTTCAGAATCAAGATCATAAATTTTAAAATATTATATTGTTAATTCAATTCTAAAGAAATTAAGTTTTATCTAATAAATATGAGGAATGTTGAGAATTATGCTTTGAAATTAAAGAATTAATGTTACTAAATTTTTGACTTTCTTTAAGGTTAGAATTCAAACAGTTTAGCATATAGTTTGATTTAGAATTAGTGATATTATCATGTCATAAATATTTTAACAACAAATTTAAATTAACTAATAATTTTTTTAGATGTTTGTATATTTTGAAGATCAATTCAGACATTTGATTGAACTTCTTTAGATGCTAACAATTTCTATACTTTGAGAAAAGTATATTAATTACCTATATTATATAACTGGATTGCTGTATATTAGATCTCTATATAATGCATCTCTGTAATCCAACAAATGGTAGACGGACTCACAGCAAATTTTCAGTTGGGAACTACAATTTTATTCTCGAAATTGACAATATATAGTGATATATTGTCAATTTTGTATAATATAATTCTCAAAATTGTTAAAATATATAGTGATATAAACAGTTGGTAAACTGTTTATATCACTATATATTTTAACACGATGAGGTTATCCGGTGGTATTAAAACTTCAAGTGCTCTTTGAGCTTGTACGATACCTGTACGATGTATTGATGTATAACATGTGTTGGTGTTATAGTTGTGTTGGTTTCCCATGCACAATTTTTTATCTTTAAGACACTGAGGAGGGGTTGTAATGTACTGCGCCAACCTGAAATGCATTTGTCAACAAATAGTTTAATTTGTATTGAAATGAGAATAAAATTGTAGTTCCTAACTGAAAATTTTCTGTGAGTCCATCTACCATTTGTTGTATTACAGAGATGTATTACATAGAGATACATTAATTACCATTTATTTTTGACAGATTAAAAGTGAATCTTTACTTCTAGACATATGTGGAATTCAAAATCACAAAACATCAATTTGTTACATCTGTAATGTTAATGTTAAATTGCTATAAAAATTTTTGATTTTAGTATTATTATTTTGTAACTATTAAAAATATACATGGTAAGTTCTTGTTTAACGTCATCAATAGGTTCTTGGAAATTGCAACTTTAAGTGAAACAAGTTATAACGAAACCAAGTTTTTCATAGACTAATTGATATAGAGAAGATATACGAGGGCTGTTCGGAAAGTTCGCGGCCTCAAATAGAACAACAAACAAAATAATGTTAAAACTTTTTTTATTTTTCAATGTAATCTCCTCTGTTAGCAATGNCAATTAATTAAACATCAAAAAACTTCTTAACATAATTATATAATTTGAAAATATTTTTTTGTGTTGCATGATGGAACATCCCATACATAGCTTCCACCGATTCACATTTGCTAAAGTCTACAAGATCATATCTCTGTCTCAAATCTAGGCTCTTCTCACATTCACAAATCAGGTGAAATTTAGAAAATGACATATGACATCTTGGGCATAGATTATTCTCATATATATACACTTTATTGTCTATCACTAGTGTACTAGAATTGAGTCGAAGTTGTATAAACAGTCTCTTCATACAGAATGGTGCGCTCGAAAATATATAGCTATTATTACTTGGATATAATAATATTGAATTATAATGATTCAATAATATTCGTAAGCGAGTATCTTCTATATCTCGCGATAGTGAAATTTCTAGTATATTCTGAATTAGTTGCTGATAACTTTCTTCTCCAAGTTCCGGCGAAAATATAAATGGTTCGATCGAACTGCCATAATCATTAATTATTTTAGACAGATTTGAAATCCAATTCCTTCTGGAAAATTTTTTAATGCAATTTTTGTATAATTGATTTAGGAGGTTAAACGTAAATTCACCGCCATCTCTTATCTTAATTAACAACTTTATACATCTTTTAACAAAGAGCGCAATAAGACTAAATCTGCTTATCTCCAATCTCAGTATACAACCCGGAGTTTTATAATCTAACCAAAACAGCCTCCGTATAAATTTATTTTGGATAGTGTCCAATTTTTGAATGTTGGAGAAACACCATATAGGAGAAGCGTAGCTTACTGAGTTAAAAACCAAGGACTGAAATAACTTAAACTGCGTTTGGATCGTACCCACGCCAGACCTAGCAAACAGCTTCGCAATACCTTGGATTAATCCATTAGATTTAGTCGTCATATTTTTAATTTGACTCTCAAAGGAAAGTAGTGATGAAAAAATCACTCCTAGAAATTTAGTTTCATTGATTATACTAATTTCCGTATTGTTAATAAAGAATGACATATGCTTCTTAGGCAATCTTGTTCCATTCCTGAATATCATTATGTGAGATTTCTTAGGATTAATATTCAAGTCCAATTGAGAAAAGTATGCAGTTAATAAGCGTATTTTCCTTCTCAGGGCAACTGCCGTTGGTGCTATAATAATGATATCATCGGCGTACAAGATAGAGTGAACTATTGTATTACCAATCACAAATCCATCATCTTCATTATCGAATATATCATTAATATCATAAGTATAAAAATTAAATAAATAAGGCGACCAAGGGTCTCCCTGTAGCAACCCTCGTTCTATCAAATGGAGACAACCCTGACCTCCGTTAACTCTACAGATCATCTCATAGTGGCCAAACAAAAGACCTACCAACTTAACCAAACGTCTATCAGCTTTATGTTGTAACATTTTATTTTGTAAGGCTCGAACATTCACGGAATCATATGCCTTTTCGAGATCAACAAACAGAGCATACACTTTATGTCTTTTTTTGTTTAACTGCAATTGAACAGTGGCCAACAAAACAAACAAGGTTATCTGAGTACCTCCATCCGATATAAAAGCATACTGGGTTGGATTAATCAGACTCTCCTCTTTGATCCATTCAATAAATCTTTTCGATATCATAGCAGTAAACAGTTTGCAAATTTTGATGATATGAAACCGTGCTTTACAATTTGTTTATGCTTCTAACACAATAAAGTGTTATAAATTAAGACACTTGGCGGGTTTTCTCATCTAAATAAAGATGAGAAAACCCACCAAGTGTCTTAATTTATAACACTTTATTGTGTTAGAAGCATAAAGTTTGCAAAATGTCGAAAGTAAGGCTATCGGCCGGTAATTTGCTGGACTGGCCCTGTCTCCTTTCTTATACATCATTCGAAATATCACTTGGTTCCACGACTTAGGAATTACACCTATTACATAAAATCTATTATACTGCCTAACAATATATTTTAAAATTGTCATAGGAAACAGTTTTAGTATTTTATTAGGAAATCCATCATATCCCGGGGCCGATTTATTTTTGAGCCTCTTGATACATAATTGAAGTTCTTGAATATTAAATATCTCTTCCATTGGTGTCAACCCAGATTCTTCCATTTTTTCCATTCTAGTATTAGCCAATTTCTCCTTATATCTAATCGAAAATTTATCAAAATATTTGTTCCATTCATCTGTTGGTATATTAACTGACCTTTTCCAGTGTTCAACAGGTTGTCGAAAACTATTAATCACTTCCCAAAATTTTTTTGGAATCTTTAGTTTTTATTAAATATTTATTTAAATTTGCATAATACCTTTTCATTTTAGCTTTTATCAACTGATTATAGACTTTTTTGTTGTTAATATGTCTTTTCCAATCCGTTTACCTATTAGTTTTTCGAAACTGCCTCAAACTTTGCTGTTTTTTCTTCTTAAAATAATAGCAGCTATTATCGTACCAACTTTGTATAAACCTTCGCGTCAAACCTTTGTTACATATTTTTGCACAGTACGTATTTAGGAGCCCAATAAAATTTTCATAATTAACCAGCGGACTTAACTTATCTTCTTGATTTAGTACTTCTTGAAATCTACCTAAGATTTCTCTATTTAAGTTTAGTCTTAGGGGTAGACCAAAAGCATTTGTTTTATATAGATGCTCACCTAAATGTCAAATTTCTAGCAAAACACCCAAATTCAACATTCAAACGTTTTCAGCCACTCCTTAATCAGCATTCGTCAGGAAAAATCAAACAAATATGACCGTAGGGTCAGTGTCTCTTTGACACTGCGTCAGGGTGTGACACTACCGAGTCTCTCAGGACCCAGAAATCGCGATGGAAAGTTCTTACATCACGCAAGCAGTCGCGGGTAAGCGGTTGGATTCAAAGTAGAGGTGAGGAGAGAGAAACAAGGAAGTGATTCACTTGGACACTTGGATTCCAGATTTATAAATAATAACAATTTAATTTCAATGGGCAGGAGTACAAGATATACGATCATAGACATCTCGGAGTGATATATATATATATATATACACTATATAATGATATATATATATATATATATCATTNTACGAAGGAGCAGACTCTCCCAAAACTTCATCCATGTCAGCTTTGATTTGAGATGGGGTCAACCCTTTTTTCGTCAGGTATTTTATGACCGCACGAGTCTCCGTCTTCTCCATTTTTGACAAAGCATGTGCACACTGACTATCTGCTAAGCTGTCGTGGCAAAACTTTTTGACAAATTAAGCAGAAATTGGTATCGTATCTCTAGCACAGATGGCTGAATTATTCCTGCCAAAAATTAAATTTATGGCAGCGCCGCATAGAGGCAAGGCCGCGAACTTTCTGAACAGCCCTCGTAATTTGGTTAAAATTATTTTTATTAGATTATGTTTGTAGACTCTGGCATTTATTTCCTACCTCATAGAATCAAGTTTACTATTAATAAAGAAAATTTGACAACAATAACAGTAAGTGATAACAAGTGTATTGTGTTGTTCCTTGACATTATGAGGAAACAATGTTAAGTGAGGTGTTTTTAATTTTGTGAAAAATTTTAATACAAAGCTTAATTTCTGGTTCAAATATCTGAATTTGTTCATATTTTTTAAAAATAATTTTCTCTAATTAATGTAAATATATATTAATAATAATTGAGGGACGGCATTTTTTATGTTTTAATTTGAAAAACTTATATTTAGATTGTATCCGAAGTTTATCTGCTGAGTCATTTACGTGGTAAGAAACACAAAGAAGTAATTAATCTGCAGCATCAAGGTAAAGATCCATCAACAGAAGAACTTGTAAGTTTTATCTTAAATTTAATAATGGTAGAGATTAAATACTATTAAAATTGTATAGTAATTTAATTTCATATATTGTGATGAGAAAATTATATTTAATGTTAATGAAAAAACTGTGTATACAAAATTGTTTCACATCTAAAACACGCTATCTTTTATTTTTAAACTTGATACATTGCAATAACACACCTTCAACTACCTTATACCATTGGGCTATAATTTGGCGGCAGTTGAAGGTGCGTTATTGCATACTTATTTTGTGGACACTGTATATCTTCATCTTAAATGGTCATTTACTGATCTTGTCACCCTACTAGGCATTTATTTTAGATTTAATTTAGATATGAAATTTGTCAATTGAAAGTAAAAAGATTAAAGTAACTGCACTTGGACTTTCAAGAAGGTTATAAAATATTAAAGCCCATAAAAATTAAAGTTAGAAATTTTTATTGGCTGGATCTAAAAAATTTTGAATCACCTACATATAAACTTCTTTTATTTCTTCTTTTACTTCTACAAATAAAATATCTTTTATTTTTAAACTTAAATCAAATTTTTTTGAACAAAATAATGTACTGGAAACAAACTTTTTTACAACTGTAAGATGTGTTCAAAACAATATTAGAAAAATGACTGTCATTTTCCAAGCTCTGAATCTAAAATAAATGTCTAGTAGAGTGACAAGTTGTATACTTATTTTGTGAACAGCCTGTAGTTCAGGATTATTTTGTATGACTGCTATTTTTCCTTAATTAATGAGATCTAACATCTATCTATGTTTAAGGTATATTGTTCTACTGAATGATGACACAATCAGTATCTAACCATGAGTCTGAAAATTAAAAATGATCTTATTAATTTGAAAAGATTAGTAAATGACCATCACCCAATCAATCATCCACTGATAGAAAGTCATAACAGTTACTTATCAGTACAAAATGTCTAAAAATTACTCTTGTTTATTGTTTACTGGCATAATTTTAGCTGTGATTTGACACATTAACTTAGAATTTTAATGATTGATCTTGGTAGTCATTCACTGATAGCTGGTCATTTACAGGTTGAGTGGCTCTACTTTAAATTGCAAATTAATACAGTGGAACCTGGTTAACTCAAAGTCACATTTACTCAAAGTCATTTTCTTTCCCGAATCATCATTTCCCTAGCATAGGGATTTACATGTTAAATCAAACTGGTTAACTCAAATGGAGTTTTGATACAGTATTTCCATTATTTTGTACTTCTACCTTTTCTTCTACCAGATTCTGTAAACGTCGGTGCTGCTTACACAATCCATTTATAATGTTGCTGTAACCATGCTCTTTAGCGATCTTCTTAATGTAACTTAATTCTCATTGGAGGGCTTGGGTGGTGGAAGAATGTGTATAGGCTCTTTCTACCAATGCTCTAAACACTGCTTTCTTATAAGAAAATGGGTCACATGATTCATATGGTATATATGTTGATACCGCTGTAGGTTTTCTGTAGACATAAGTTTGTACCGCCCTTTCTTTCATTTCTATGACTATATCTAAGAAATGTACTTTATCCATACTATGTTGTTCCATTTCCACTACGAGGCCATATGGGTTGTTGTTTATTGTTTCCATAAAATGTTCTATATCCAGCTCAGTTTTCCAAAGGATAATTATATCGTCGATATATCTTCCATACAAGATAATATTTGGGAGAAATGAGGGAAGGACTTTGCCTTCTAATATTCTGATCACCATTTCGCATAAGTCTCCAGCCAACAGACTTCCCATTGGCACACCTCTTCTCTGCATGTATATAGTGATCTTGAATTGGAATACAGAATTGTAACAAGCCTGATGTGCTAACTCGAGTATACTGCGGTGCAATGCGGTGTCGTCTATGTTAGAAAGAACGAAGTCCCTGAGCGAAAAGAAGGAAGGCCCTGCTTATGCGTCCTTGCTGCCCCTGCTTATGCGTCTTTGCAAAAGCGAACAGCTTCGGCATGTCTGGGGCATCTACAATTATGTTCCTCATACCCATGTTCCTGGCTAGTTTCGTATTAGCAAATCATTTAATTCTTGCTTGCATTTTATCTACCCAGCTCGTTTCTACTTCTAAACACTGAATTAATGAGAGGTATTCAATTAATCCTTTCTCATACGTCTCTCTTTTCATTAACACCATTATTTTGGCTTTATCCGCTCTGGTCACAACAATGTCATTACTCTTTATCCATTTCTCAGTAGCTTGTTTAACCATTCAGTTAAGCATTTTTGAGTTTTTGGACAGCATTAAGAGATTTACATTGATGCAACAATTCTACATAATAAGACATGGGGAAATATCATATGAATAGTTTATTATGTGTCACCGATAAACCAATACACAAAGTCTTGTTTTTTAGCCGAACTTCCATAACCCTAAACTTTTTAACTCAAAGTCCAAATTTTTTTTTCTTGACTGATTCAAGTCAACCAGGTTCTACTGTAATTAAAAATTAAAGTATATAGAACAACTGTTGAAAACTTTTGATAACATCATTTAACTATTTTTAATTTGTGTATGTTTAGGATTATATCAAATTTCTATTTCATGAAAGGGATGCATGGGCTAGTAAAGGCTGAGAATTGTTGCACTAGTCTTTTTGTTTAGATGTCTTTTTTGATTTGAAGGACAAAAGAAAAATTTATATAGTTGGGAAAACTAAATCTAACATAGATGAATTTCTCCAGTTCACGAACAACAATCCATATACTTGTTTCTAGAATTAGATCAAATAAATAACACTAGCAGCCACTTTTTAGATATTTCGATTTATTTTAATGGTAACAACTTCAATTTCAATGTATACTATAAATCAAATTTTGTTCCATTATATATACCAGCTGATCCTAATGACCTATTTGGATATAAAATTGCTGCCTTTAAAGCCCCCATCGGAAGGGCTTGCACCCATTGTAATAAAATAGAAGATATGAAGTCAGAATTAGAACACATTGTGGACATAGCTACAACACACAGTTACTCCAAGAGTTTAATTTATAGATTGGCTCACATGCAAGATGCAAAAACAATGGAAACAGACCATCTGAATAGCATTGCTCACATGCACAATACATCAAACCTGGACTCTGTTTATTGATGTAAAATTTTCACTTACGAAAGATGCTTGCAAAATATATTCAAGAAAACTGGGTTGTTTACAAAAGGTAAAATAACATAGAAAGGGAAACTAGACACTTTTAAGCTTCTGTGCAACAGAAAAGACCTCATTGACTGCCAAAGAGCTCCGGGGATTTATAGAATGCCAATTAGGGCCAAAAAATTCCATAAGGATATAATACAGTGGGTGATCGGTTAACGAATAGATCGCATAACGAACAAATCGGATAACGAACACTTTCGCGAAAGATTTTTATGTTCGGACAACGAACACATGATCGGATAACAAACACCCCACAGAACAAACACAAGAAAAAGCGACGTAAATTAATGAATACCGATTGGTCTTCCCTTGTCTTCGGGCAACAATTCGAAACTTTTCGGAGTGTGGGAGACGTCGACATCGACGCTCAAGCCGATATATACCGATCGGATATTATTCCTCCGAACTTTGAAACTCTTCCTTGTAATTTCAGCCTTTTATTTTTCTGACAAAACAATTATTTTATGTATTCGTGAGACTGTCGGGTAGGCACTCGTTAAGTTTTGCGTCTGTTTTTCTTTTCGAAAGGTGAGAGTA